TTGCTGAGCACAGGCTCCGGACATGCAGGCTCAGCGGCCATGGCTCACGGGCCCAGCCGCTCCGGGGCATGTGGGATCTTCCCGGACCGGGGCACGAACCCGTGTCCCCTGCATCGGCAGGCAAACTCTCAACCACTGTGCCACCAGGGAAGCTCCAGAAACATACTCTTAAAATTAGTTTTCCAAAATTAGGCCAAAAAGCCTACATTAAAGGAAAAAGAAAAGTCAAGGATGAGTTGAACATTAAAGTTTATCTGTTCCTGAAGACTATGAAAAACACAATGAAAGCTGAAACACTACATATAGCTAAGAATGCATTCTCACAGAGCAAGTTTATAGTGTTTAGAGTAAAGATATTTCTAAATTTCTGCTTGATGTTTAAAATTTTATAAGTGATTTATTATGTCACCATATTAAGCCAATTCAATTAACTACATTCAGTAGGAATTGCTTCAGAAATGCCCTGAAAAAGGTAATGACAGAAACTATAGATTTAAAAAGCAACTAGTCCTTGCAAAGTTTATCTCAAGACTTAGAATATAATGCTAACTATCAATTCCCAATTCCTCTTAAAATAGAAGACTACCTGCATGTTTAGCCATTCCATCTTATTCCAGTTTTGCATAAAGGTAGAAATCTTAAAGGACTGCATTGTTGCTAAACACTGTCAATACTTCTCATATGCACCATTTAGACCATACCTCATTTTTTTACTTCCCTTGTAATATTAAAATAATGAATAAATATGGTCCTTTAATTAAGATCGTCCACCTTATCTTAAGCAAAATATAAAATAAGGTAATTTTATTAACTTCTTGCTAGCATTGACTTAAAAATCTGTTTACCAAATAAGAAATTGTAAACATTTTTTTTTTTACCCAGAAAGCAGATGTATTCTGATCCACTGCTAATACCTATATAAAATATTTCATCATTTTAGTTTTGTTTATAACATTTTTCTTGGAATAGTATTATTGTGCCTCAGAAAAATCCAATCAACCAACTACAAAAAATTATGCCCAATTGTTAATTAACCTTCTGAAAGAAGCAAAAAGTTCTCTAGGAAAACCTAAAATAACCTGATTCACAATTACCAGTGCTGAAAAGGTCATTGAAAATTGATAAATAATAAATGTAGTTTTGCTGGATTTTACCCATCTTTAGTGCAAAACAGGATGGTGAAATTTCCCAATGGACTATGCTAAAGAACATGAACCAGAACCCTGGTAACATCTCATTTGCCTTCTGACACTAACATTTTCCAGGATGAAAACAATGACATATAGCTTTACAGAGTTTTAAATTTATAAGTTCAAAAACGGAATTAAAATCCAACTTAAGGGAAAAGAGCAAAATATGCTTAGTAGTGTCCAAATTTCAAATAAAATCTCAAGGGTAAGTATGGCTGCTGTTTTTCTAAACAGTCATTTATCAATAAAATTTTGGCTGTGTCATAAGAAACCGCCTGTGCTTTCTATCAACCAAGGCCTGCTGAAGTACAACACACTGCCCTTGTAAATTCAACCTCAGCTGAAATGTCGAGCAAGGCGGGCAGATCTATAGTCAGCACGAAGTTGTACGAAGGAGTGAAGAATGTTCTTGTCCAGATTAGCAAGTTGTTCTCCTGAGCAGACTTGCTTTAAATTATCTGGGTTTACTACCAGAAGATTGCAAAGTGCATGCAGAGTATCAAAAAGCTGTAATACCAGAGGAATCTGAATTGAGATAAGAGAAGGAAAAAAATAACATTGAAACAAGATAATGTTTAGTTTTACAATCAGTTTGTAAATTCTTCTCACTTACGTACTGTTATTCAGGACTTAACTAATGTTGGAGAGTTCAATGTTAGAATTTTTTAAAGTTCCTAAAGTGTTAAAACTCAAATATTTCAGACATTATAAAACTCACTATAATCTTTTTGAAAAGATTCATATTATGCCAATTTTCTTAAATAGTAATAATCATTTATACTTTTGTAAACTAGAATTAGTTATCATTGATTTAGCAGGTTTCTTAAATAATTTAAACATTAAGGGAAACTGATTTCAGAGAGATGTACATGAAGAAAGAACATAGTTTCCTCATATCTGATATATGCAGCATTAGTCATGGGCGTTATTTAATAAGGTCATTTGGACTATGGAACTGAAATATGGCCTTGTCTAAAATAAAGCTCAAAGCAAAAATGTGTCAATATTGAACATATGACTGCAACAATACTTCTTCAGTTAGGAAATGTTAGATCTGTTTCACTACAATGTCAACAAGTTATAAATTTTTCACTAATAATTATGTCAGTACACATTTTTTATGATCTGACTTATGTTCTTGAACCTATTTACAAGTTTGATATTTGTGAATACATACCTTGAAGTCTTTGGCACACTTCCTATATTCAGCAACATCACAAATTGCTAACATGCCACCCATACAACTATAGGAATATTGTTGAAGATGCTCATAAATAAGTCGATGAAAACGTACTCCAAGTTCCATCAAAACTGTATCCACATTCTTCCCATCCATGGAATTTTTAATCTTCTCCACTTGTTTTCTTACATAAGCACAGACTTTAACACAGGCCTGTAAAAATTTTTTCTATACTTATTACATAGAAATGTGTATCAGCTTAGCTAAGGAGAAAATACATACAGTTTCTCATTAATATCTAAGTATAAAATAAAAAAATGTGGAGCATAGTAAGATATATCAATGAAATGTTAACAAAAGTACAAACAAAGCAGATACTCTTAGTAGCATACTGAATCATTTTACTCACATTAGTATACTGAATCAAAACATTGTTTTCATCTTCTGGCTTAAAATCTGTTTTCTTTTGTTCTGCAGCCAAGATATGCTTCATTTGTCCAATCATACAATTTAATGTCCTAGAGAATTGAGAACACCATGTATTTGATCCATTTAATTTACTTTATATTTACTTTTATTTATATTATTTATAATAAATTAAATTTAAGTTATTTAATTTCATGTCACCATGAGACTATTTTACTATGGGTATACTTTAGATTTTAAGAGAGTAAATTCTAGGTCTTGACATCAAAGACCTCTTAGTTTTATTAGCTTCCTGCTCAAAACACAGGGCAAAGATTCATTTGCCCATTATTCTATTTAAGGAAATCTTAAAGATCTTAGAAGACTGTCACTCATTTGTTTCCTTAACAACTATATCTGGAGAATGCTTAGGAAGGCAGTAAGATAGAGGGGCTTATGAGGAATGGCCAAAGTTTAGAAGAACAGGTGAGAAGAACCCGAGTTTCACAGTCTAAGGACAAGCAGGAGGCTGAACAAGTGGTACTGAAGACCCAGTTGAGAAATGAGAGTATGTGTTTGTAATGGCACAAATGTTTGAGTTATGTGGTATTCTCCAACAGCAATCAGCCATCCGGTTATGGGAATAAAAGAGTCTGCATTAATCCAGATTTTAGGATCTGTAAGATAATTATGGTTAAAGGAAATAAATTTTAGGGTAATTACGAGGGAGTAATTAAAGAGAAGGATCAAGCAATCTAAGCACAACAATGAATAAAATAAAGCTGGGAAAGGATAATAGATTGGCAAAAGACAAAGATAATAAGGGCTAGAGTTCCTATAACTAACTTATATTCAAATATGTTTTCTTGAATAGAAGAGAAAGGAGTAGAATTACAGTAAATAAAAATATGCCCAAACCTAGTAGCGTGGGCTTTAGAATTTAAGTCCCAAATATCCAGCATTATGATCTTGAGCAAACTACCTCATTTCTTTAAGCTTTCATTTCCTCACCTGTAAAATGGGAATAGTATTTCCTACTTAATAAATGAAATTATACAGGTAAAGATCCTTGTACCGTGCCTGGCACATAGCAAATTCTTGATAAATATTGAGTTGGCCAAAAAGTTCGTTCGGGTTTTTCATGTTACAAAAACCCGAGCAAACTTTCTGGCCAAACCAAACAGTAGCTATTATCATCATCAATAAATAAATGCCCACCATCATCTCAAAAGACAGAGATCCACTGCTCCATATTATGAACAGGTAATTAACTACAATAAACAGTACAAAAATTTTTTGAATGTAGAGTCTACATTCACTTAATGGAAGTTACTTTTAGAAAATCAGTATATTTATTTAAAGCATTTCAGATATTAGCCTGACAGTTCTAACTGAAAATAAAATCTTCTATGTTACACCATTTTTAAGGAGTTTGGAGAGAGGGAGAGCAAGAGGGTGTGTGTGTGTGTGTGTGTGTGTGTGTGTGTGTGTGTGTGTAGGGGGCATTTACAAAAAAGATTTTAAATAGAATCTGCTTTAAAAGTAAGTCTAAACATACTGACTTCCATAAATAATAAACCTGGAAGCCAATAAAAACAACATTCTAATAAAGATGAAAGCAATATGTAAAAATAAAATCAAACATTATAGCAGGATGGTGGAATTAAAATAGACTTTTTTCTTCTCTGAAAATGATTTTCATGTTGTTACAATGGTGTTTTTACAGTTTTTAAAAAATGCAAGAGATAGCACAGGGAGATCAGCTCGGTGCTTTTTGTGACCACCTAGAGGGGTGGGATAGGGAGGGTGGGAGGGAGGTACCAGAGGGAGAGGATATGGGGATATACGTATACATATAACTGATTTACTTTGTTATACAGTAGAAACTAACACAACATTGTAAAGCAATTATATTCCAATAAAGATGTTAAAAATTTTTTTAAATAAAAAAATAAACACAACAACAAAAACACAAGAGAAATAGTAAAACTAACAACTTGCCTATCAATGCCAGTATCTAATTTCATCTCCATCTGTTCAATTATTTCTTTTTTCTTCTGAAGGCATTCAGATAACTTAGGAGAAGAGCTATTGAATGTTTAAAGGGGGAAAAAGATCACATTAGTAGCCTTACAATTCTAACAGTTTTTCATAGGCATATGTGTATAGCTATATACCTACACACACACACACACACACACACACACACACACACACACACATTATTTTAATTTGCTCCCCAATCCAAGAAGCATATAAATAGTAAAATAATTATTTAGTATTCACTATGCCCAATTCATTACAATAGTCATGCTAGGAAAAATTAACCCGTTAAAAGAGGAGGATTTAGATTTATTACTTTCATCTGTGAGGAGACATCCCTTTAGAATATAAATATGTGATATTGAAATTCTGAAATTATTTGGTTTCCTTTTTAAATTTCTGGTATTTCAGTAAGAAAAATCACAAAGTCTTGAGAATATAGCAAATTATACTAATTAAAATTTGCAGACTAACACCCAATTCAATTGTATTTAGCTTTCCTATATTAAAAAAACGAAAAACAAAACCAATATGGTAGCCATATTTACCTTCTGAATATTACCTAAACGTCAAAAAACACCCAAAATATTAAAGAATATGCAACCCTAATAATTACGTGAATTCTTTGTTATGTGACATTAGAGCTCTTTAAAAAGTAAATTTCCTTTCAAAATGTGATTCAGGGATCACAAGTAATCTTTATCTTTGAGATCATTTCTAGACTAATTATTTCTTGGCATATCAACGTTTATACAAAATGTCTAGAATTTTATCTTCTATATGAATATTCTTCCTCTTTAATTATAGTACTACACATACAATTTTAAAAAGCACGTTCACATATACACTACCTTATTTAATCCTCACATGCTTTAAAAGTTCACATAAATTGATAGGAAGATACAAACCAAACCTTATTTAATGCCTCATCAAAACCTGTCCTATTAATCTCATAAAATTGTTATTGTACATCTTTTTATTATAATAAGTGGGAAGAAGCTGGAAGTTGTCTTTCATATCAGATTTAGGTTTATGACACATTCAGTAAACCAAAATTAATACCACGGAAGGAAAACAGGAAGGCAAGGAAGAGGAAAAGGGCTTTTACTTATTTCACACCCTCCTGCTCCTGTTTATGTTTTAACGAACATCTATTACTTTTAAATTTTAACAAGAAGTAGAATATTATAATATTCATTGAAACACCAATGAAAACCAGACAATTTGACTAACCTTATTAGTGGCATAAGGTGATCATTAAACTGCTTGTCAAAAAGGTGAAAAATAGTATTGGCCTGGTGCACAACATCCAAAAAATAGAGATTTGCATTCCTAGAATCTGAAGAAGGAATTCCTAAAGTTGGAAGGCATGTATACGTTAGAATCATATTAAAGAAATTCATGTAAGCAAGAGAAAAAAGAATGTGGTTTTATATATACAACATGCATAAAAGTAACTGCTGTTTCATTAAATCAGCAATAATTTTTGTGGACAGAAGAGTAATATTAAGCTTGTTAATAATTTAATAAAATTCATCCAAAGTTTTTACATCCAAATTTTCACTATCTACTCAAGTCTTCGGAGATAAATAAAAAATAAATCAATAAATGAATCATCTTGGACTATACCTTCTCCTTCCCTTTCCTGCCCTCCTATGCGCAATGATTCATGAGCCATGAATACACTTCTACCATTTTTCTTATAACCATTTTTCTTATAACCAGGCCTCATTACCTCTGATAACAGTTAAAATAATTTTCTTATTAGTATCCTGGTTCAAATCTCCTTATCTTTTATGCTATATATTGTTGCCATAATAATGTATTTAACATATTTCACTCACCATGTTCTCTACTATTTCCTCAAAAATAATTCAAAGTCTCCTCACTGTCAAAATAATAAATTCCAGATTTTCAGCACTGTATTCAAGCCACTTCACATTCTGACCCCAAAACAGACAGCTGATCTCTCCAGATTTTCAGTTTCCTCTCTTGTAAGAGAGTAATAGTTAAACTCTAAGGTCCTACTAACCACAGACATTTATGTTTCTAGCTAAAGTTCAAAGACATAAGGGGCTAGGAAAAATACTCACAGAAAATAAGAAAACGAAAGTTTAATACCTAGAGTTCTTTACAGGAGGAGGATTTTTTTTCAAAGTTTTAAAAATGGAAAATAAAGGTGTTTTATTTTCCCATAAATGACAAAATCACCAACTGATAAGAAAATTAAAGGCTCCAACACAAATTTACAAGAGAAAAAAATAAAGTCAATACACATGTAGAAAATACTAATCCCTGCTATTAATGAAAGACATGAAAAGGCAATAGTGATGTACGTTTTTAACCACTAAATTATTAAAGTTTTTAAAGAATATTCAGTGGTGTGCAGAAAAGCTGGTATAATCATACATGTAGCAGCAGTATAGATTAGTGGGAAAAAAACCCTTAGGAAAATAGTTTATACGTATAAAAATTTTTTTAATTTGCAATACACTCTGATCTGGTAATTTCACTTCCAGAATTTAATCCAAAGAAAATAATTCAAAATAAGGAAAACACTTTAAGCTCTACAATTGTTCATTATACTACTAAATTGCTGAAAAGATCCAAGATGTCTAATAATAGGGGGTGGTTAACTTTATAATATATATGCATGACGGAATTTTATAAAATCATTAGAAATAATAGCAGTATGTACTAACTAAATAGCTGCATGGAAAATGTTTATGAGTATAAGGGACATCTCATCCTACCAGGAAATTTTTTAAGCCCTTCCAAATTATGAATACTGCTATTAAAATGAATAACCTAGGCTTCCATACTAGCTAAAGAACAACTCCTTCATACCATATAGAATCAAATTCATGTTACTTTTTTATTATCTTCTTTAATCTTCACATCTTTGAGGTGGATATTATTATCCCAATACAAATAACCACATAAGCTTAATTGTAAATGGCAAATGTTAAATACTTGATGTCAAGTTTCTGCTGTGTTGGATGGAGTAGGGGGGGAAGCAGGCTACAAATGCTTATCTACGTCCTGCAGGTTAAAAAAAAAAAAGAAGGGTAAGAATAAACCACAAGGTTACTGAATTATGGGTAATTTTGCTTCAACCTTACGTCCTGCAAAAAAAAAAAGAAGGGTAAGAATAAACCACAAGGTTACTGAATTATGGGTAATTTTGCTTCAACCTTAGAAACTTTATGGAATGATGTTATATACAGTCAAACATTTTTGAGCATGTGCTATGTGCTTTCTAGATGCTAGCCTATAAGGGCAATTAAGACAGGTAAGATTTCTGTGAAGTTCACTATTCAAGAGAACTTACATGCTGTTCTCTCTGCTTAAAATACTCTTTCTCCAAATATTCAATTTATTCCTTCACTTCATTCAGCTCTCTGGTTCATGTCTCCTCAGAGAGGCCTTTTCTGACCAGCCTTTCTAAAAAAGCCCTCTGCTCCTGAATTCCCCATCCTACCTCCCATTACTATTCTCTATTCCTTACTCAATTTTATTTTATTCATTGCACTTACTAGTATTTGTCTATCTTCTCCACAAGAATGTAAGCTGCATGAGTACAAGAGTAAGGACTTAAGCATGTGTTCAATGAATGAATTCTGGTGAGTGAGGCAAATATTAACAAATGAAAATTTCATTGTAACAAGCGCTATGAAAAAAGTTAATTCAATGATGAAATAATGCGTAACTAGGCTGGGAAAGGGGTGTCACTTTAGCTAGTTCCATCAGCAAAGGCCTCTCTAAGAAGGTAGCACCTTAGCTAAGATCAGAGGGGTGAAAAGCCAGACATGAGGAAAAGGATTGGGGGTAGGGAGATACCAAGTGCAAAGAACCTGCGTGAGGAAAATGATTGAAGGCCAAAGAGGCTGGGGTGGTGAGGGGAAATGCAATATGAGATGAAGATGAATATATAAGAGGAGGCCAGATCAAAAGCTATACTTTCATAAAGAGTTTCTTGTTGTTTTTCCCCTAAGAGTAACAGGAAACCACTAAAGGGTCTTAAGCAAGAAATTTTAAGACCCTTGAATTTATAACATAACTGTTACATGGACTCAGTTATTTGGAAAGGGAAGAATGTACACAAAGAGACCAGTTAGGAATGGACAGAGATGATGATCTTTAAATCAGGGTGGCATCAGCAGAAATGGAGAAAAGTAGACGAATTTGAGTTATGTTTGGCAGTATACAGACAGCATTTGCTGATAGACTGGCTATCAGGTTTGATGAAAAGAAGAATTATGATAACTCCAGGGTTTGGGCCTTGAGCAAACAGTAAATAGTAATGCCTTTTAAAGACATGGAAAAGAAGGGGAAAGGAAGAAGTTTAGATGGAAGATAAAGAGTTTCATTTAAGATATATTAAAATTGAGATGCACATAGAACAGGTGAGAGAGGTCAAGGAGGCAACTGAATTAATGGGACTGGAATTTAGGGAAGAAGTCATTATTATCCTATTAATACCAGTAAACCCAGAAGAACAAAAATAAAAGAAAAAATTTTATATGAATCTATTCCTCTCCAGGCTTACTTTGAAAAGGCTTACTTTCCTTTCTAAATCTTACTTTACTCAACTGTCTCAACCAGAATTGCTGTCACTTCCATTTCTGCTCCTTTGGCATTTCACAGCTTACAGCATTGTATTACATTCTTCCATTCACTGTAGTGACTCATGTAGCCCTGGTCAATGTAAGCAATATGAGAACTGTGTCTTTCTATAGCTTCTAGCATCTGACAAATCCTTGTTACAGAAGCTCAAAAAGCATTTCGTTGCACTGAACTGCTTTTGACAGATAGAGCTGAATATATATAAAACAACATTATGCATAGTTTAACCGAATAGGATCAAAGGAATTTAACACGAAGTATAGCACAAATAAATATACTTACCAGCAAGTCCTGTTTCCAAGGCATAATCAATATGTTCAATACATAAAAATTCCACAAGAATGGTAAAAATTCTAAAGGCATTCCTTGGTAAATCAGAAGGATCAGAGAGCTTTAAAAACAAAAACCAAATACATCATTCCTCAAGTTTACCTTTAAAAAAAAGGCAATACTTATTTTTTCTTTTTTAGCAATCAACTTTGTATAAGACATAGTCAGTATTCAGGTATCAAAATGATAACTTAAAACTCTTCCTGCCCACCCAAAATGCCTTTCTCATATACATACAGTTACAATGCTCTGTGTCTGTCTACAACTCTCCTGGCTTAGACTAGATCAATGTTTTTCTGACCTGGATTGTAACCCATTAGTGGACTGTGACAAGAAAGGAAGAGAGAAAAGAAGAGAGAACCAATAGAAAATAATGTCTAAAGTACACATTAAAACCAAATATGTTTTAATGAAATAAACACATACAAACATAACATACACACACACGTAAATACATATAATAAATGTACACTCAACTGCCATGTAAAGTGCCTTTCTTATTGTGAGTCACAGTAAAAGAATTTTGAGAGCCACCAAATGAACAAATGCTATTCTAGTAAAACTCAGAACAAAAAGGATTCTTTATTTTATTGGAGGGTGGGGATGGGAAATCAATAACAGACACACTATAAAATACGACAGGCTCAAATCCCACTTCCATCACTTCCTGCTTGAGTGAACACTTGAGATGTTATTTAACCCCACCAAGCCTCAATTTCTTCACCTGTAAGGTAGGAATAATATTAATAGTACTTATATCCTAGCCTTGAGGTGAAAGTAAAGTATGAAAATGCATGTAAGGTATTTTTAGCTCAGTGTTTGGCATATAATAGGTTCACAATAATAAATTTTCATTTTGATGTTGATGTTGCTGCTGCTGATTAACTACTTAGTAAAGGAATTATTAGTAATTATGCTGAGAAAATTAAATCCCTCTTTAAAAGTTAGAAAATTACCTCTCAACTTCTTATAACTGCTTCCTATATTATTTATCAATTGATTGTTGCCTATCTGTAGTCTCCATTTGTGATCCACTCTCAGAGTAATGGGCACTAAAGTGCATAACCCACTTTAAATTCCCTAAATCTCTACTGATTACAAATACTAATTTGGTATTACTCAATTCCCTTCCTGGTCTTCTTAATACAATCCTAACCTTTACCCCTCATCAGTCTCTCTACCACAACCCTCACCTCCCTTCTTTGCTCACTGATGCTTAACAAATGCCCTTAGCAAGCCACAGAGAATAAATTTAATTTTTCACATTCCTCCTCTCTACATCTGTACATTCAAGCATAACTCATTGAAGAGGTAGACTGAATATGTGTAAGGATATAAAAGACATAAACAACATTGTTAATCAACTGGACCTAACTGACATTCATAGAATACGCTATCCAACAACATCAGGATATACATTTTCTTTAAGTATTCATAAAACACTTACTAAGATGGATCATATTCTGGGCTAAAAAACAAGTCTCGATAAATTTAAAATGGATTCATATCACACAAAGTACGTCCTCTAACCACAACGGAATCAAATTTAAATCAATAACAGAAAGACATCTAAAAAAATCCCCTAATATCTGGAAATGAAATAACACACTTCTAAGCCACTCTTGGGCCAAAAGAAATCAAAAGGGAAATTTAAAAGTATTTTGAACTGAATGAAAATAAATACAACAAATTAAAATTTGTGGTATGCAGCTAAAGCAGTACCTTAAAGGGAAATTTATAAGACTAAATGCCTATATTAGAAAATAAGAAAGGTCTCTAATCAATGTCTCACCTCCACCTTAAAAAACTAGAAAAAGAAGGGGAAATGAAATCCAAGTAAGCAGAAGTAAAAGAAGTAATAAAGAGTGGAAATCAATGAAATACAAAACAGAAAACAGAAAAGTCAATGATACCAAAAGCTGATTCTCTGGGGGAACCAATAAAACTGATAAACCTCCAGCCAGAATGATCACACACAAAAAAATACCCATCATCAAAAATGAATAGGAGACATCACTAAAGATTCTACAAATGTTAAAAAGATAATAAGCTACTATATATAAAATAAACAACAAGGTCCTCCTGTAAAGCAGAGGGAACTATATTCAATATCTTGTAATAACCTATATTGAAGAAGAATATATATATTATATATATTATGTATATATAACTGAATCACTTTGCTATACACCAGAAACTTAACACTGTAAACAAATTTTACTTCAATTAAAAATCGCACACACGGACACACACACAAAATCAATTGACCATAAAAAAAAGATAATAAGGCAATACCATGAACATCTTAATCCCAATAAATTCAAAAATTTCTGTGAAATATACAAATCTTAAAAGACACAAACTACCAAAGCTCACTTAAAAAGAAACAGGTAACTAAAATAGCTCCAGAGAAGTTAATTTGTAGTTTAAAACCCTCACAAAGTTAAAAACTGCAGTCCCAAATGACTTCACTGGTGAGTTCTACCAAATATTTAAGGAAAATATAACAACAATTTTACATAAACTCTTCCAGAATATTGAAGAGGAAGGAACACTTTCCAACTTATTCTATGAGGCAAACATTACCCTGATACCAAAACTACACAAAGACATTACAAGAAAAAAGTATGTATACATCAATATCCCTCTTGAAGGCAAACACAAAAATTCTTAACAAAAGTTTAGCAAACCTAATCCAACCATACATAAATAGGATAATACATGATGACCAATGGGGTTTATCAAAGGAATGCAAGGTTAACATTTGGAAATCAATGTAATCCAACCACATTAACAGAACAACAACAAAAAAAGCATTTGACAAAGTCTAACATCTAATCCTTATAAAAACACCCAGAAAACTAGGAATAAAAGAATTTCATCAATCTGATAAACAGCATCTATGAAAAACAAATGGGACCTAATTAAACTTACAAGATTTTGCACAGCAAAGGAAACCATAAACAAAACTAAAAGACAACCTACAGAATAGGAGAAAACATTTACAAATGATATGAGTGACAAGGGATTAATTTCCAAAATATACAAACAGCTCATAAAGCTCAATAACAAAAAGACAAACAACCTAATCAAAACATGGGCAGATGACCTAAATAGACATTTCTCCAAAGAAGACATACAGTTGGCCAAGAGGCACATGAAAAGATGCTCAACATTGTTAATTATTAGAGAAAGGCAAATCAAAATTACAATGAGGTATCACCTCACACCAGTCAGAATGGCCATCATCAAAAAGTCTATACATAATAAATGCTGGAGAGGGTATGGAGAAAAGGAAACCCTCCTACACTGTTGGTGGGAATGTAAATTGGTAAATGTAAATTGAAGCCACTATGGAGAACAGTATGGAGGTTCCTTAAAAAACTAAAAATAGAATTACCATATGATCCAGCAATCCCACTATTGGGCATATATCCAGATAAAACTATAATTCAAAAAGTTACATGCACCCCTATGTACATAGCACTATTTACAATAGCAAGACATGGAAACAACTTAAATGTCCATTGACAGATAAATGGATAAAGATGTGGTGTGTGTGTATACATTTATATATATATATATATATATGTATGTATATAGAATATTACTTAGCCCTAAAAAGGAAATAATGCCATTTGCAACATGTAGATCTAGAGACTATCATAGTAAGTGAAGTAAGCCAGACAGAGAAAGACAAATCTCATATGATATACCTTATATGTGGAATCTAAAAGAAAAAGAAACGATACAAATGAACTTATTTCCAAAACAGAAAGAGACTCACAGACACAGAAACAAACTTATGGTTACCAAAGGGGAAAGCAGGATGCGAGGGATAAATTAGGAGGCTGGAATTAACACATACACACTACTATGTATAAAACAGATAACCAACAAGGACCTACTGTATAGCACAGGGAACTATACTCAATATTATGTAATAACCTATAAGGTTACATATTTATATGTATACATATATATGTATACATATCGCTGTGCTGTACACCTGAAAGTTACATGATATTGTAAATTAACTATATGTCAATAGGGGCTTCCATGGTGGTGCAGTGGTCAAGAATCCGCCTGCCAGTGCAAGGGACAGGGTTCAAGCCCTGGTCTGGGAAGATCCCACATGCCACGGAGCAACTAAGCCCACGCACCACAACTACCGAGCCTGGGCTCTAGAGCCCTCGAGACACAACTACTGAAGTCCGCGAGCCTAGAGCCCATGCTCCGCAACAAGAGAAGCCACCACAATGAGAAGCCTGTGCACCTCAACAAAGAGTAGTCCCTGCTCGCCACAACTAGAGAAAGCCCGTGCGCAGCAACGAAGACCCAACACAGCCAAAAATAAATAAATAAATAAACCCTATACGTCAATAAAAAAAATTTAAAAAAAAGAAAAACCTACAGTTAGCATCATATTAATGATAAAGACAAGAATAATGCAGGGTATAGGGAGGGTGGGAGGGAGAAGCAAGAGGGAGAGGATATGTGGATATATGTATACGTATAGCTGATTCACTTTGTTATACAGCAGAAACTAACACACCAGTGTAAAGCAATTATACTCCAATAAAGATGTTTTAAAAAATGATTAAAAAACAAACAAAAAGAATAATGCAAGGTGTATGCTCTCGCCACTTATAGTCAGCATTGTATTGGAGGTTCTCACCAGGGCAATAAGGCAAAAGACAAAACAACAGGCATCTATATTGAAAGGAGTAAGTAAAACTGTCTTTATTGGCAGAAAACATGATATTCTATACAGAAAATCCTGTGGAATCTACAAAAAATGCTATTAGAATAAGTGAGTTTAGTCAGGTTGCAGGTACAAAATTAACATATAAAAATCAACTGTATTTGAGAACTCAATATTGCTAAGACGTCAATTCTCCACAAACAGAACTATAGATTCAAAGCAATTCCAGTCAAAATCCCAAACTTTTTTTTCCCCAGAAAATGAAAAATTGATTATCAGACTTATATGAAAACGCTTTCTATGGTAATGTTAGAGGACTCCCACTACCTGATTCAAGATTTATAGTTACAGTGATC